AATAATAAATCATCACCAATTAGGAAAAAAAGAGACATAACTTGAAACAAATAAGAGTGGGGGGAGAAAGTGGAAAGTCTGTGATAATAAAGAACAAGAAGAATAATGAATTCATCTTAATACCGCATTTGAAAACATTTAAAAAAAATAGATGTAATCATAACAGTATCGGAACCCATGTTCAGCAGACATCTCTACTCAGTTCAAAATTTCAATTACTTCAAGTCCCCCTGAACCGGATATTTTATTTTATTTCCAAGATATAATTACATTTCTCCCTCTTCCTCTCTGTATCCGCAGCAAACAGTGATTTACGATAAAGATCTGCATCCCGAGGAAGAACAAATGGAAATTAATTTCATAGCAGAAGCGGGAAGTTTATCTGATGTTTGCGTCTGTCACACACAATAAATCTTGCTCAAGCGATATTATGAAGAAAGCTGCGAGCCCGACCTAAAGCAGTAGTAATCCCATCTACGACTAGGTCTTCCGAGTGGTATCTTCCGTTCAGGCTTCCAAATCAAAATGTTCTACAGATTTCTAATATTCTCAACACGTGCTACATTCCCCGCCCATCTCACGCTTATTGATTTGGGGAAGTGCACAAATTATGCAAGTTCTTATAAAAAAAGTTTCTCCATTTCATCCCACTTAAGTCCACGTATTCCACTAAGCACTTTCTCCACGGAGCCGAGTACTTCCTGAGAAGCCAACAGTCCTTCAGCCACTCAAGAAGTTCCCGGAACCCGAATGTTCATTACCATATTCACAAGAGCCAGCCACTGGTCCCTATCCTGAATCAGATGAATCCAGTCCATACCACTCCATCCTTTTTCTCTAAGATTCACTTTAATATTATCCTCCTTTGTCCTGGTTTCCTCATCAAAAACCTGTATGCATTAATTATCTCTCCCATGCGGGTTACATTCCCAGCCCATCTCATCCTCCTTGACTTGGTCAGTCTAATTTTATTTGGCGACGAGTATAACTTAATGAAGCCCCTCATTATGGAACTTTCTTTTCGTCTAAGCACCACATTTCTCAGTTTCACTTAACATAAGAGACGTGACTTTACATCCACACAAAATAATACGTAAAATTTATAGTTTTGTGTATTTTAATCTTTACGTTCTCAGACATCAGACGATAAAAAAAAATTCTGTACCGAAAAGGAGCAAGCACTGACAGAATTTACGAAATGAAATATTAAATCTTCACCAAATATTCCGGTCTGTCATCCAGAATTGCAGTCTAAATGGAGGAACGCACCTGTAAAAGTTATAAAATAACTTAAGACTTCTGAGACATGAAAACGCTGCACACGAAGCTTTGAATGCGACTTACTGGTTGTGGAAGGCGGCAGGGGGTAAGGCTTTTGTTGTTACTGAGTCGAGCAGTAACTCTGTCAGCCCCCAATTATAACCTACGCTGTACTGCCCGCAAAGTACCAGTTGCGTACTGGGAGAGAGAGACTTGGTCATGCACATTTGTATCACAATCATTTCATTTTCGTCATTCAACTGGAAAATAACTTTGCTCTAACAGCAAAGCGGGGAACAGAGGTACAGACATTCCCATAGAACGAAATGTTTTACATAAAACGCATATTTTAATGGCAATAGTAATAACGTTAGGCAGTGAACCGTATTGTTTCAAAAACCTGAAATATCACAACCCCCTCCCACCGACCGCGTCATCTCATTCCAAACATGACTAGTTGCGCTGACTCACATTTATGAGACCTGGTGCTGGCAAATCATTGACTAAACAAAATGAGTTCGCACTGCATTCAAAATCAGAGTTGGTGCACAGGACTATTTGTTTCCGTCCAATTTTGTTCGGTTTAAAGTCACGTGTTTATACGAGTGGAAAACTACATTTATATCGGGCACACAGACAGAGTTTTTAAACACGTTCTGTACGATTTTGTGTTACTATTATTCACCCTTTGAAGCCAAATCTCGTCCACATAATACATAAGAACCAGTCCGTACCGCAAAGAAAACACCGTACTTCACCATTACAAAGATCAACTAGCTAACGCTTAGGATATAATCCGATGTTTGCACTGAAAGCCATACGAAACCCATATTACAAAATGAAAAGTTTTGATACTTGAATTAGGTAGTACATATATTTCGCACTCGACTTTAAGCATAGATTTGAGAGCCCTATGCATAGATGGTGAGAAAGGATAATATTAAAATGTATTTTAAACAAATTCTATTTGAAGACGTGGACTGAATTCTGAGGTTCAATGGCGGGTTTTATGAAAATGGTTATCATTTTATGGGTTGAGATGGGAGATATTTTTTGACAGACTGTCGTCTTATCAAGAACAAATCTTCTCGATGGGCTCAGATGGTAAAATGCACTCCACGACTTCTCAGGCACAGCGATGGAGCTGCAGTTGTTGAGTGACTTATGCCACCCTAACACGAAGTTCGTCATGATGGGAACGTCTAATTACATGTGTTAATTAGCGCGCCGCTTGAGAACTACAAGCATCCCCAAGTATGCCACCGCAGAATTACCATATGAATACTTGTTTGTTTGTCTTGCGGGTTGCGTTCTTCGAGATAACCAGGCTGCTGATGACGTTCTAGGCAACCCTCCTTACACCGGAAATATATATATCTCAGAAGCAGCGACACAGTTTTGGTTGGCAAAATTACGCAGCGAGCAATACAAGAAATTTTGAAGCCGAAACACGTCTTAATAATATCAAATCTAAAACTTCTTGACGATGGTGAAGAGTCAATTGAATAAAAATTTACTTGGATATTATCCATCGTCTAGTAATAAAACGTAAAAAACGTAAAACGACGTTTCGGAGATGGGGC